TTGTAATGGAAAATTTGGCATCTAGGTTGACAACGAGTCTCCTAAAGCTGGAACATATCACTTTTTGGATCTTAATTAATGGCCACGCCATAACCCCATAGGATGGTTTGTTGTTTTGTCTAATTTTGCCATATTCTCATGCACTAGAGCTGTAAGATTGTGTTTGATTTGCAAAACCATTATAATTGTCCACAAAAGTTAATGTATTGGTTAATACATAGGAATTGAAGTCAAATATATCAATTCTGATCAAAATTTTAAGCTATCCATCTCGCTTTTTCCTTATTTTGGGTCTATAAAAGTAATATATATATATATATCACTAAAAAAACTCACACCAAATTTAGGCAAAAAATTTAATTATACGTTTTTTATAAAGAAAATTATAATATAAGAATAAAAAAAAAATTGCAGGTGTTTGGGAGTCAAATGCATATTAAGGCAACTCCAATCTGAAATACATATTACCTATAAACTAAAAATTGCTATCCCTAAGCATAACTATAAGAAAGCATTTGATTTTAATCAGATGGAACCTACTTTGATTCGTTCACGTTAGCATGAAGATAAGCTCACTAATTTATTAGAAGAACCATTAGTTTTAAATCAAGTATTAATTGGGATGATGATGTAATGGAGAAATGGAACCAGTGATATTATTATAAATTTAAATTAAAGATGGCAAATACACTTTTATTTTAAGATGGAACCTTGGTATTGATCAAGTAATTACTTTATTGAAGTGGGATTGCCACAACCTTACCTTTGATTAAATTTTTTTTTGCTAATTATGTGGTTGATTACTCAGAAGGGTTCCCACAAACCATGATTGCTTTGGGGCTGCTGATCTTATTTCTCAAGCAACTTTTCTTATAGGATCTTAGTCTTAATCCATGATAGGAGTAAATTATTCAATAAACAACATTTATTAATACATAGTAGAAGACAGTGGATAAGGTTTAATTTTGAGAGCTTTCCAACTACAATTTTTTTATTACGATACTATAACTATCCAATTACAATAAATAATTTCGTGAGTATTTATCACTTATAAGAATGAACTTCATATAATATTTTGATAAACCTTTCATAATTCTAAAATTTGATTGATTAATTGTAATACTATTATTAGATGATATGCTCCTTTTAATTTTAAATGGAATTAGTAAGAGATTAATCATTAGGGCAGCCGTTATTTGCTTCAATATAAACAAAAGATGCATCTATATAAAATTTGAGTGGGATAATGTTGGAATCTATTGTCACAGCAACAAAAATTTTAGAGGAAAAGGGGTAGGGAGGTACATGTTCCCTAGATGGATGGAAATATTATATATATATATATATATATATATATATAATGAGTTTATGGTATCCGGCTCTAACCCATTTTTCAAATAGATATGTAACATAATCCCAAAGTGCATGAATTAAAGAATGAAGAATGAGATACCCCAACGGACATGAAATGCTTGGGATATATTCATGAACTATTATTATATAGAAATACTAAGCAAACAAATGGATACTAAGAAATAATAAAGCATCCAAAAATCAGAACTTGAATATTATTTCTATTAGTTTATACAATTATTTTTAGGAGATAATATTTAACAAGTTTGATATTAAAACTTCAACATCTGCAATCCATTAATCTATCTCTAAAATGCAACCATACGTGTAAAAAAAGTGAAAATTGAGAAAAATCTTGATTAAGGGAATGGATAATTAAAGGCATATATAAATAGAATATAAAGTTGGGGAGCCACTTGAGAACCCTTGAAGTAGTATACTATGAGAAAAGTAGCACTTTAAAGGAGTACAATTATTGTTTGCACAAGAAGTACTTAAAGAATTGGTGTCATTGTAAGTGAACACTTAAATTCCAGGTGAGCAGGTTCACTTAGGATGTGGTTGGCTGGTGATGAAGGCCCACATATAATAAAAACTGAAATTGAAAATGCCCACTTTCATATAAAGGAAAGAAAGCACCCAACAAGCTAAAGACCTCATTAAAGTTGTTCGGTGGCGGATGGAGCCATGACAAATGCTTTATCTCTCTATCTCTTTCTTATGATTTATGAATGTTTAATCGAAAATTTTTAACCCTTGTTTATGTATTGCCCGTGCATACCGATTAATAAGGTGATACTTCTTAGAAAGAATTTGGTCAAAGTGTAAAAAAAGGTTTAGAGTAAAATTTTAATAATTTTATTACAATTAATTAAATTTTTAAATATTTATTTTTTTATCAATTGAGTTTTTATTAGACAAAAACTGATTAATTTTTAAAATCTATTTTCATCTGTGAAAAATTCATTTGAGGTAAAAATATTTTTTTAAAGGTTTAACCGATTTGAAATAAAAAATTCAAGATTTGATTATTTATAATAAAATATCATAAATTTAAATGATTATTACATTTTTATTTAAGAGATTTTTTATTTTTTTGCAAAAAAATCTTACATTTTGTAAATAATATGCATTAATTTTATTAAATTCAAATATAAATATTCATTAAAAAAATTTAAAAAAGTATCTTAATTAACGTTAACCAATTCATATGATTTGGGAAAAAAATTCTTTCCGCTGCTATTATTATTGTAATACAATTAATTAATTTTAATTTTAAATTATGTAAGATTTATTAACCGTGAATACTTTCACCTCTATCCTAATTAATTAATTTGATATTAGTTTAATTTTATTTCATATATGGCATGATAATAAAACATGATTATAAGTTTCCATTAGTAGTATATTTATGTCCCATGGCACTGTCATTTTCATTATGCAAAAGGGAAAAGCAGAGAGAAGGAAGGAAATTTTGTAGAACTAAGCAAAAAATGGTAGAATTTAGCTTTTGTCTATTCGAACCCTTGATGTATCTTAATCGATTCTTAAAGCACACGAATATTGCACTAGCTATTTGCCGTGAAGGAAGTGAAGACATTGATAGCAGCAAATTTCACTGGAAAATTGTTAGCTAAAAGAGCTCATCATCGCTGCAATACTGAGAAAAGGGAAAAAAAAAGTTATTGATGTGTTTCTTTCTTCTTTATCTGTGCTAATTACATGATAGTCATTAACTAATATCCAGAAAAAAATACCAACAGATGATATTTATTGGTAAAGTAATGTAATTTTTAAAAATTTAAAACTTGAAAAGTATTTTTTTTTTTTATAAATATAGTTTTTCTTTTTTTAACTTCTATTAGAATGGATATTGTATATTTGATCTTTGTTGAATTCAATTGCTTATGCTTTTTACTTTTTTATATACTTAAAGTGTTGTACAATAGAAGGTAATCCTCTCATCTTTACATTTTGAGATTTTTTTTTTAATATTTGAGGTTTTTAAAATTTATATTTTAATTATTAAAATTTAAATTTTAAAATTTTAGTAACGAACCATTGATAAAAAATTACAATTCTTCGGATGGAGCTTTTTGTTTTTTTTTTTTTTTGGTTAACTTTTTACCATTTGTTTCTGTTTTCATAACAACTTTTTTAAGAAAGTAAAAGTTAATAAAAATAGCAAATTCTCAAAAAAGAAAAAATATAACGTCTATAAATTATCGTTTTCAATTAACTTTAAGGAGCGTATGGCATACACGTCTAATATAACCCGTCGACGATGAACAGTGTTTTCAATAATAAGTATCCAACCATGTCAATTTCATTTTCTGGTCAAAAAGCTTCGTATACCCCAGAGCCCCTCGCTTTTCAAACTTTACAAGCAACATGGTAATCATCGCCAAGTTTTTTCAGCAAAATGGTCCAATTTTATAGAATTTTGTCTTCGCAAAAACTTTCATCCAACTAACGCTCTTTTCCCACCTGACCCCATTCTTTCATGAAAATAATAACAATAAAAAAACACTATGATGTGATCCTCATGAAATTCTCCATGTGCTTTGCCCTGGAAAAGTAGCGAACTTCATAATTTTGGCCCAATCTTTCCCTTAAAAAGACCCAAGCCGAGAACACTACCCAACAAGGCTGTGGTTTCTGCAAACACGAAGCTATAAAGAAGATTTCCAGTGCAATATATATTTTGTATGCTAGCCAAAAAAAAAAAAAATCAAAATTCAATTCAATTAATTCATATAATATTTTTAAAAATAACATTCAAATTCAAAATGTAACTTCTATCTCCTTTAAAAAATACCCACAATCCTTAAATTTTTCATATAAGTGAGATAATTTTACCACGTCTTTACTTATCATCATGTTAAAGAGATATTTTTCTTGCAAATGAGATAATTTTATCACGTCTCTACTTCTCATCATCATGTTAGAGAGAGAGAGAGAGAGAGAGAGAGGCAATCTAGCAGTCAATTAAGCAACCCTTGACAAGGGAAACAAACCACTTATTTGTCAATTTCCGAGGAATCGAGGAATGTTTAGTGCGGAGAACGCTGTCCAATCAGAGTGGCAATGTACATGAAAAATAAAATAAAATAAAATCTAGCAAGAGAACTTAAAAGTATCGGCGGCACCCCATCTTTTGATAAAATTGGTCGCTGAAAATCATTACGACAGTTGTTTTGAAACATAGGTAGACACGAAAGAACGTTGCTTGTTCCACATGGAAATGGCAACAAAAGCTACTTCTTTGCTTTTAACATTTGTAATTTTCTTTCTAGGAATTTACCTCTTTATGAACTGCTAATAAGTCCCTCTATACCACTAAATGCAAGAGCTTCTTTATTCCATCACTCTATCTAAACCTTCCGTTATCACATATCTCCTTAAATTCAAGCCAAAAAAAAAAAAAACGAAAACACTTGTTAAGCAGTATGTATTGAGAGAGCCTGTGGAGGCTGAGTCAGTAATCAGTAAAGGGTAGTGACGGAAAAGAGAAGCAACTGAGTCAGAGCAGTTGCTTCCTAATGCAGAGACACCGAGTTTGATGAAGCATTGTGGTGTTGCTGCAATGCCAAAATGGCACATGTAAAAAATGTCAAGGATGCACCACTTGAAAAGATATATATTATATGGAATGGCACATATATATATATATATATATATGTAATTGACTGCAAATGTATTTGATACAACAGATACCCTATTCCTATGTATTTTTGTCACTGGGGGGAAACAAATATAATTTACAAACCCTTTGGTGACAACCATGCTTGAGGATTCGCCAATGTCACTCTCCACTGATCACTAGTGACTGAAAAGGCACCCGCTTAATTTCCACAAAAGTTGAATACTCGCTCATGGGCTGTTTCCATGGTTCCCCATCCATCTGCATATATGCATCTTTCCACTCTCCACCCCTTAGCTCCATTCTAATCGAAGCAGCCTGGAAAAACATCCATACAATACTCATCAAAATTTTCACAACACCAAGCCCAAAATACTTGCTACTTCTTCCCCCAGGACACTTCAAAACACTAGGAACTATCTTTACAAGAAAGGTTAACGTTACAAATATAGACCCTAAACTCTAATGATATATTTAAGTTCCTACCTAAACTTTCAAAATCTCTAGTATAATACTTTAACTATAAATCTATTAATTAATGTGGTACTCACTCTTAATGTGGTTAGTTTCAAATAATAACACATGGCGAATAAACAACCCTCCAAATACCACATCCATTAACATATTCATAATTTAGGCACCACATTAGAGATTTTAAAAGTTCTGATATCACATTGAACATTTTACTATAGTTCAGAGGCCATTCTTAACATTATCCGTATAGTTCAGAGGCCATTCTTAACATCAAACCTTACAAGAAACAAGGTACAGTAGAGGAATGTAACATTCTGTGAATGGTACGAGTGTCTAAGAGTAACTTCTAGTAATTATAAAGCATCTTGCCAAGCAACTTTTAGTAATTAGTAGGCTTTCTTACCAATGGAAACAACTTTTGAAAGGCCCACGACATATTTCCTTTTTATTTTAGGCTACCAACCAAGAACAAAAATTCAGTCCAGTCTAAACTTGTACTTCTACAATCTTATGTTTATACCCCTTCGACTTGTTATGATGAAAAATACGCAAGTTACAGTACCTGTGCAATGTGTTTTGCAGATATGAGATCAACCATTACAAATGATGCATGCCATCCTTGCTTTAAGCCAAAAATTTCTAGAAGACCATCATCAGCATGGGCCTCAACAAAGCCTCTCTGAAAAACAAACAATGAAAATTGAAGTCAATCATTTTAAATTTGGAATTCAATCAAACCTCTCTATAAGCTTAACTCAGACATTGATCTTACACCATTAAGCATAGACCGTGAAGTTGAAACAATTAAGATCACAAAAATCAAGGAAAGATTCACAGTATTGGTTGAAAAACTTGGTAATAGCATCTTTCCAAATGTATTGTGGAACTATGATTTACATTAGAGAAATATCTATTCATCATCTGTCAATTAAACTGACAACAGTTCAACTTTCTTGATTTTCTTATAAATTACATTTTATTGAAATAATATAGGTTTCTTCCACCCAAGTATCACCTTTATTTGGAAATCAAACAAAACTACAACTGAAATCAGCTTAAATTTATGTTAATGCATCTAATCAAAAGTGAAATGCTGGCTGCGTTTCACTTCCCCTTGGAATTCTTATTATTGACTTATGTTACTTCAATTTAGTAATTGGAATGGAATTTATGAAAGATGCATTACAAAATACTCTCTTCTTTCATTTTTTTCCTCTCATTATTTGGCTGTTCACCGTGCAATTCCTAGTGATTTAGATTTTACCTTAAATAAACATTGATGCAATGAAAGAAACTTAAAGAGTCAAATAATAACACCTATTAAGGACAAACTTCTGTTGTGCTAAGAATGGCCATTACAAGATGCAATATTTATCAACAAAAGAAACTTAAAGAGTCAAAATAATATCTGGTGTCCATCTTAAATCATGCATTTTGAGTAAAACAAAGCTGCTAAAATCATCAGGATCAGGATCAGGATAAAATTTCCAAGATTTATGGATTAAATGAACTCAAAATTGCCCCACTCTCAAAGATTGACCGTGGATAGAATTCATTACTGGTACCTGGATCATGTTAAGACATAATGGCTGACACGTGCAACTTCAACTATGCATGTCTTAAAAGTGTAAAACTACATAGCATCCATCTGATTCACTAAAATCTTGCAAAAGATCATTGGCAAAAAAATAATTGAACTTTAAAGTAGGTTCAGAAGCTCCAACCTTAGAAAAAAACCAAGCTGACACTGTTTTGAATTGCAAAATAAAGCAGAACACATTTTTATTTCCATTATGGAGCCAGAACACATTTTATCCTTCAGCTTTTTAAATCCAAATCCAACCATCAAACATAAGCAAGCAATTCAAAGTTTATCCAAAAAGAGAGAGAGAGATTAATTGTACTGTGAACACCATACAAAGAGTAGTATTAAGTAACCTGAAGGAATGTACCGCACCTTTTCCAAATACTCTGGTTTGAGATTACCCCATGGATTTCGCCCACTTCCATAATTATGAAGATTTAAAGCCACAATTGCCCTCACACTAATAAAAATAGCATAATATTAGAGGGTGATTAAATCATAAGCCATACTGGGGGCAGAAATGTTCTACCCAGCAACAATTTCCAATGTAGCTTGTTACGCAGAAGGTTCGATAAAAAAATTATTTATGGATGTAAAGATATCCAATGTCCATTATAAGTTTACATAAGAACTATGAAGACTAACAGTTGATAAATAATAACAATGACTGTCAAAAACGATGCCTAGAACAATTAAGATGCTTACGCATCACTACGAAAAATTAAATACTTTAAATGTACCTTTTAGGGACTGGAATCTGCTCCCATTCCGAGCAATTGACCCTTTTAATATGGATCCTTAAAATGTTCTTGAGCCCCCTGCATTTGGAAACATTTTTAAAATATATGTACTTCAAAAGGAATGGTTCATGGTTTTTCACTGCAAAACACCATTAACAAGAAAGAGATACTTTCTCCATAGGATTCATGGATTATTTCTTCTCAGCTAAATAAAAGATATATCAACAAAACTTGTTGGAGTAACTGAACAAGCATTAGAAAACCACATGCATTATAATAGCGATGATGTTCTATTAATCTAAGAAACATTAAGACACAAAAACAATGTCGTTAAAGGGAGAAGACACTGCCAAGGTACTGGCACAAGTGCAAAAAAGACATCTGCTTGAGAAAAGCAAGGTGCTGATACAATACAAATATAAATGAAACCCCTTTCATTTTTGTGTAAACATACATATATTGTCAATTCAAAGTATAGTTTTAAAAAATAAAAAAAAAAATTTCAAGGAACACTTAATGGAGGCATGTCTTTTAGGCACCCATCACCTTTCAAAATAGTGCACCTAGGCATCAAAGGCTTATGTTTGGGAAAAGCACTTTTCAACTTTGGTCTCAGCACCCAGGACAATGCCTTGGCTAAACCTTCTAAGGTAAAATCAAACCTTAGCTAAGTTATTGTTACATTTAAGGCAATTTATGTCTTGTGCCTCAGCACCAAGACCTTGGCTACACTGCCTAAGGAACAATCAGACCTTTACTAAATTCTGGTTATACACACACACACACACACACACACACACAACATACATACAAATATACATATTGTTGTTACTTAGAAAATGAAATATGTCCATTACAGGATGAGATACAAGCTAAATAACTATCATAATATCTAACCTTAAACTTGGATCATTTATGCAAGGTGTGAGAAACCAACCCTGACTGCAACTGTAACCAGAGTAGATAATCTGCCACAAAAGATGGAGCAAGCAAATCACTAACTGGGGCAGAGAAACTAATAATTTGAATTTTGAATGTTAAGCAGCACATGGCAATTTAACTTTAGTGAGATTAGTGTTATATTTATGCAAATCCTAATGGAAATAATCAGAGAATAAAGAGAAGGTCCTGCATAAATCAAAATTACACTCAAGTTGTTTATCAGATAAACTGGAAGAGAAAAAATAAATTTAAACAGCCAAGCACATTCATTAATATTGGATACATCTGTACAAGAACTTCATAACTCTTCTATTTGCTAGCAAAGCACAAGGTTAAGACTGGGACAACATGAAATGCTCCTATATAAAAAAAAAACATACAAGACTTTCCTACTAGTTTTATGTTGTAGATTCTTTTTACTTCTGGCCCTTCATTCATCTGCACCATTCCGTGTCAAAAAATTATAGAGCAGCAAATCTTTAAAATATAGGTATCAATGCTGCAGTGCAAAATATTTAGTCACAAAAAATATAGATTGAAGGGGAAAAAAAAGCCTTTCCCACTAGTTTCATGATGTAGATTCATTTTACTTCTAGCCCTTCATGCATCCTCCCCATTCCTTGTCAAAGAATTATGAAGCAGCACATCTTTAAAATAAAGGTATCAAGATTGAAGTGCAAAATATCTAGTCATAAAAAGAATATATTTAATAAAAACTTTTATTTATATAGGCAAGACAATCACTTCCTATCCCCCTTCTGACTATGCCATGCATAGTCACTAATATCATCTGGACATTTGTGTAATCCGTAGATGATCCATGTATGTTTGGTAGATGGCAATATTACCATTAAACACTTCAAACTAAAATATTTGCATTTAACATTGACAGTACAAAACCTAGAGATTCACAACATAACATTATTAAACTTGCAGCCAAATGTAAAAATGAAATCCAAATACCTTATTTGTAATAGGACCTTGTGCAAGGTAAGGTTTCTCATTACGTAAATGATGGAATCCATAAGCCACTTGTGCATCCATTCCTGAATGTAAAATGAAAATATAAAGATTCTTAAGAACTGAAAATGGTCATAATAATAATAATAACAAAAAAAAAAAACCATAAGCAAGAATAAGTAGAGTATCGTCATTTGTAACAAGACAACTTCATACATGATTTCTGAACATTTCATGACTCCCAATTTTCAATGCTAGGCTTTAATTAGTTGTCTTGAGCCCTGTGAGTCATACGAGTGTGGCACCCCACCTTTTCTAGAATTCTTGTTCAATTGCAAGAGTAAAGAAAATAAGATTTGGGTGATTTAAAAGTTAAACTTATTATAATAAAGAAAAGGGTTACAAATTTTGATCATCCATGGACTCTATTGAGGATTTGGTTAGAATGCTATTATTGTATTCTGTTTCTCTTGAAATAAAATAGCAGCTAGCCTTAATAACAGCTAACATACCAAATATATGATTATCAAGCTTCTAAGATGAAAATACAGCTGTTCACCACGTGAATTTCCAAATGCATGAAATAAAAAGAACCAAGATCTAGAAGTTATGCTGGTATACTATACCTATGCTAAAGTAATTATAGAATACACCTTCATAGCAGTTCACTTTGTCTGGAACGTCCCCCTCAATCTCCAAAGTCTGCAGCCACATACAAGGTTTTCCAGTTTGAATATGAAATTCCACATCATAAGATCACTAAAACACAATAAGAAGAAAATTGGATTTAAAAAAAAAAAAAAAAAAACCACTATTGTGTGATGTCTAAGTAATCAGATGGTAGAGCATGCTGAATACTTTGAAAGAATTAGGTATACAATGCCACATTTCATTTGATAATATGCTATATTGGATCAAATCATTAAAGCATATTTCGATCTATGGCCTTAAAAGTACTCTTTCTTGTCAAAAACTTGTCCCTATCAAGTAAAGATAGTCATAAGAATTTTCACATAATTATGTTGCTAAATGTTATTCTAAGATTATATTGGAGAATTCTAATAATACCAAATTAAATAAACTAATGACCAAAGTGCATAAACTAGAAAAGATAAAACATTATCAACCTCAAAGGACTCAATAAAGCATCAATGTTCACACATCAAAAAATAGCCACACAAGAGTAGATTGAGTAAAACAGAGGATTTAAAGCAGAGAGATTCACTACCTGATCAAGAGCACACTCTTCTGTAGCCTTCAAAGAATGGGGAGGATCAACAACTTCCATGCCAGGCATTTGCAACACAACATGCCAACTGCATAATCAAAGAAACAATTATTGATATAATCACAAAGTAGGGTTTATATAACAATGACAAATTATGCAAACTCATTTTTCAATTGTAAGAAACTGAAACATACAGTGAGTCCTCAATAGCAGATTATCAAACTCATAGAACGAAAGACAACCACCAAAAAACCATCAATATGCCACAGAAGCAAAACATAGTACTAATTGTTATGTAATAAATGTCTACTTACCTATCTAGACGGCAAATTGGACCAGTAGTAGCTCTGTGCAGAGTTCTTTTAATAGCTGATTTCCAGGCAAAAGGAATTGAACCTCCCTGCAGTGAACATTCAGAGCATGAGGCAACAAAGCAAGAGAAGAAACCAGTAGACAAAATCAAATTTTAAAATTTATAAAGGGGTATCTTACCCAACCAAAACTTCTAGACAAGTCATTGCCTGTACCAAGTGGAATGATAGCTACAGGAGGAACTGGCTCCCGACCCTTTTGATGAAGCTCTCCAAGACATCCAAGTACCCAACCAACTGTACCATCACCTCCAGCAACCTGCCCATTCATCCAGAGTCTTGCAACATCAGCTTGGAATGTTGGGTTTGTTAGTTAATTGCTATTTGTTTTTTACTCTGTAGAAAATTGGTAAAAATTAAATGATTGTTCATCAATATCAAACCAGTGAGTAAAATACAACGCCAATTTTAAAACTAGGGGTTCTGTATAAAAAGTAAAATCATGTACTTTATTCTTGGAAAAATTTATTTGCTTGTAAATCTAAAAAAAATTACTTTTTTTTTACTCTTTCGGAAGTAAAAAGCGAAGTAACAAACATAATAACCGAACTCTAGCTAAACTAAAAACATTTTCTATTGAAAGAAAAAGGCATTGGGGAAGACAAGTATACTAGTTGTAAAAAAGATGGTAGAAACATACCACAACTCTAATGTTGTGCCGTGTCTCCTTGGCACAAAGGTCTCCGTTGTTAGCCCACTTATCAAGGCAAGTCAGTCCATACCGTACAAATTCATGCGGTTTCACATCTTGGAGGTCAAATACCTACATTTCCAAAATTAAAAATTCTTCAAAATATTTATATAAATAAAACTAAGTCATCCGAAACCAAAAAAAAAAAAAAAAGTGTTACCTGTTCTTCGCTGATTAATTGCTGGAGACGTTCTTTAAGGACGGGGCCATGGCGGCCGCCGCTTCGGGAGTTAATAAAAACTACTGTAGGGTTTTCAGGGCAGAGAATATCGACGGAGCCATGCAGAAGGAAATGCTGGTCACCACCGTCGACGTCTTTTTTCCTAATGGAATCTTGCATCGCAAGGCGTAGATACTGAGGCATCAAAAGCCTCCGTCTAAGCTCTTCCTTATCGATCCTAAAACCGGTTAAACTCGACAACCCGCAAGCTTTTATCGAGTCTATCATAGAGGAACGCGCCACGATCCGTGCCGTCGATGAATCCCCCGCCGACGTCGGCGTATCCATATTTTCCAGAATCTTCTTTTTTATTTTTATTTTTTGTTGTTACCAAATAAAGAAAGTATACGAGTAAACAAAGACGTACATATAAATATATAGATCGAGGGAGGGATGGAGGGTACAGGGAAGAAGGAAAGAATGAGGTTGGTTTCTTTCTTCTTTTTTTTTCTTTTTTGAAAAAGCGTTCGGAGTTGGAGGAGTATCCTTTTTCTTTGTTTGGAGGAGATAGTGGGTGAGACCTGAACCCAAATGCCCTTCAAGAAACCCTTAAATTACGTAACTGCCACATAAGGATTCTTCAAAGCCAAATTGTAGTTTGTGGAAAGTAATTGAAAGCTTTGTTTTTGTTTTGTTGGGAGGGAATTTGTAAGCTACTCCACTTGTACAAACTCAACTCTAGTGCGTTTAACCAACGTAATGAATTTTCGTCAACTGATTTTTTAATTAGTTGGTTTGTTGTTGAAAGTGGCATATGAAAGTTGTACGATGGAAAAAATTTATGCATATAATATGTTTTTTAATTAGATAAATAATAAAATTAAAAAATTAAAAATTAAATTACCTCATTAACTAGTTTCTTGTTTTAAAACAACGGAAATTATTTTTAAAAATTGTGTGACAAAACATGCGCAAACTTTCTTTAAAAACAAGGAACTACATTTGAAAATAACTTTTAAGTAAATTTAAGATAATATTTCATAAATTACTGAAAAATTTTAGAAAGCATTTTAATTATAATTTTTTTATTACAACATCATAATTAATAATATAATCGATCGATTTGAAACCGATATAATATTAAGCTCAAACTTGAGCTCAACTCTAAATTCGAAATTTGAAATTAGATTCGAACTCGATCGAGTTTTATTTTTTTAACTCAAACTCGACTCGAAATAAAAATCAAGTTATTCGAGCTTTCTCGATTACACTCGATTAACATATAAAAATAATGTTGATTTTATATTCGATAAAAATTTGATTATTTATACTTGAGCTCACACTCAAATTTGAGATATTTTATCAATTAAAATATATTAAAATATAAAAACTCGATTAAATTCGTGAGCTACTCGAACTGAATATAAAAATGCTTGAACTCGACTCGATCAATAAGTCAAGTTACTCGAGCTCGACTTAATAATAATTAAGTCAAATTCAAACTTTATTTGAGTTAAACTCGAATAATTTGTAAGTACTGTATATCATTTACATCCCTAATCATAATTGTTCAATCACAAGTAAAAATTATTTAAAGGTCTACCACTTGTAAAAGTGGACTCCAAATAATATTTTGATAAATCTTACATAATTCTAAAATTTTATTTATTAATTTTAATATAATTATTATAGATAATATGCTCCTAAATTTTTAATAACTTAATTTTGATAACTCAATTTTAAACATCTTTTTAATCAAAAGCTTCCAATGAAAAAAATGTTAAAATTTTGAAAAATAATTAATAAATAAGTCATGTTTATTTTTTTAAAAAAAGTTGGCCAAGAAAAGAATTCATTTAATTTCGTTAATAACGGAGGGCCAAAAATATTAAGGTGAATATATCTCTCTTTTACAATGATTCAATAAGCATACCAAATAATTTTCATATTATAAATTCAACATTTTAAATTTTTACTCAAACATTATATCTCATATATACGTGATTGAGGCCTACTTGGACGACTACGTGACCCTCTAATTGGAATAGTGATTGAGGCCTAATTGGATGACCAACGTCATTATTGCTTCAAAAAAAACTTTGTTTCATCTGCTTATTTTTATGCCATTATTTATTTTTATATTTGCTTAATTTTAAAATATATAAAAAAAATTTCAATTATTGTCTCAAACTTTACTAATAAAAATGAAATTAAGACCCTAACATTTTATTACATATAAATAAACTTATAATCATTTCAATTACAATCATAAACTTTTAAAATCAATTAAAAAGTCCAATTGGAATCGTTTTTAAATTATTTTATAAAAAAAATCTAATTGGAATAACCAAAAACTATTATGATCTCTCAATCTAATTGGAATAACGAAAAACTATCATGATCTGTCACAGTGTTTACCAACAACGTTAGATAAAAATTGTTAGTCTTCCATTATTTTAATTAGACTTTTTTCATTGATTTTAAAAATTTATGATTATAATTACTGATAAATTAAAATTATAACTTTATTGATTTCATTTTTTATTTCATGTTGAGGATATATTTGGATATTTGGTTATTTCCTTTCTAATTCATATATATATAATTATTTAATCAAATTAGTAAATTATAATTTATAAAATTAATGGAAATAGAAATATAATTAATTAAAATTAATAATAATTAGCCAAAAAAACAAACTTAATAATAAAAGATGATTATTTTAAAAAAACCACCTTAAATATATCAAAATTCTTATTGTTTATTAAATTAAATTGAATACTGAAAAATCTTTATTTAAAAAAAAAAACCTAAAATGAAATATTAAAATATTATGAATGACATTTTTAAATTATCATACAAGAACAAGAAATTTAATTAAAAAATTAACAATTTATGTTCTTTTAAAACAAAAATAATGTGATTCAACCATAACATAACCAAATAAATTTTCTAATTATTATTAAAACAAGTTTTCATTAACAAGTTAGAATTGTTAGGAGGAAACTAGAAGGTGTAGGCACATGAACAACTTTTATCTTAACAAAACAAAAAATATTTAAAGTTATAGGAATAAGAGTTGGCTATCCCAAATTAAAATTAGATTTAGCTGAAAATATATAAAAAGAATTTTTGACAATAGATTTGGTAATTTTAAATATGGATATGGTGGCACCATTTAAAAATGATAAGAAAAATATTAAAAGACATGATTTAAATTTTTAACAAAAATCATATATAGATTTAACAAAAACAAAAAAAAGTTTCATGTTTGATATATAGACACAAATTGTGATATTATAATTTTTATGTTTTACACATATTTGACACAAAATAAAAAGATACAAGTATACGAATTACTAAATCCATAAGATAGGTCATGGGCACGGGACAAAGACAAAAGTAAAGACTATTGAGTTTATTGAACCCATATTGTTTTTGATGATGCCAAAACCCACTTATTATTGGTTGTCTAATGAGTTTGATTAAATGTCTCAAGCTTAACAATTTGTTATTAAGTGATTAACTTAAGTAGGTGAAGGTTTAAAGCTTGATCAAGTATTAAGAAAAGACTAATGTAGAAGATAAAGAGAGTTTTGTAGTCAAAGTTACAAGATATTATTCAAGAAATTTATTTTGAGGATGCAAATTAACCTTGAAGTGAAGCCAAATATCAAATATGAGATGAATAACTTTTGAAAATGACTAAAATCAAGACAAATTGATTTGAAGAAATATTAAAGTAATCAAATCTATAAATGCTACAGTTCTTGACTTTGCTTTTTGACTATTTGTCATAACATATAGATCCGTAGACCTATCGCTAGACATTGAATTAAAGAGTCGCCACCAATCTTTTTTATTTAGGTGCAATTGGCCACTTAACCGAATTTGTCCATTTTTAAAGAGAAATCTTAAGTTTGGCTTAGATATCTTTAAAAGGTAAAGTCAATGTTTATGAAACCAGAACTAGGTTCAGGAGTACGGTTACGTGTGAAGAAGGTTATAGCACTCTCACGACGCCTATCGAAAGATGGTACCAACTCAATTTTGAGTTATCCATTAAGCTTTAAAAATTTTACCAAGTAATTAATTATTAAAAATTACTCTTAATTAACTCTAATACTTTTGGTAGAAAATTAAAAAACCCCTTACCTCAAGAGTATACAAGAAAACTACTGTTTCTTTGCAGAGGCTTCGTCGTCAGATTATTTAACATTTAAAAATTTTTCAAAAAAAGAAAAAGATAACAAGAATAATGATTCAATTTTTTAATACAGATCTTTTTTATTGTTTTATAAGAAAAGACTCACGATTTTATATAAAAAAATTGATACTTTCAACTTTTTCTTAATGCATTTTAAGGTTTTTATTTTCAAGAAAAATTGATACTTTCAACTTTTCTTTAAAAATATTTTTCTTCAAATTTTATTTTCAAGAAAAATTGATACTTTCAACCTTTTCTTAAAAATCCCTTCTTGAAATCTTTTTTTTTCAAGGAAAATTGTTATTTTAAACTTTTTCTTAAAAATATTTTTTGAAAATTTTTATTTTCAAGGGAAATTAATACTTTCAACTTTTCCTTAAAAATCCCTTCTTGAAATCTTTTTTTTTTATTTTCAAGGGAAATTGATACTTTCAACTTTCCTTTAAAAAATTTTTTTTCAAATTTTCATTTTAAAGAGATCATTGAAAATTAAAGGATGTTTAATTAAATAAATAACTTATTTTAATTTAGTCAATAAATAAATAAGGAAAAATAATAATAATCAATAAATAAATAATAAAACTAAATGAAAAAAAAAAGAAAAAAAAGCCTTTGGCGCGACTCGGCTGAGCTCAAACAGAATGGCTCGGCTTGAGCCACAAAGATCGGCTCAAATGTGAGGTTTGGCGACTGGGTTTACGGCTCGACTTAGCTGGACTCAAAAGTTGGAGACGGGAAGAAAGCGGGTTAGTGCTTTGGCTCGGGTCACCTGGATGGAAAATGGGTGGATCATGTGTCTTTGTAAACGCCAAAATGGTGTCGTTTTGTGGTACTATAAAAGCCTAAGTTTCAACCTATTTTCGTCAGAATTCCTCTGCTCTTTCTCTCTCTCTACTTCCCTTTTTCTCTCTCTATCCCCTTAAGAACACAGATTAAATTTAACTGGATTCTAAAAATTCTAGTCGAAATCTGGGTTGTTCGTCAAAAGTTCATCGAAAAGTTCATCGAAAAGTTCATCGATTTTTGGAAAGTAGCTGCCAGAAACTGGAAACTGATCGAAATTTGGGAAGTCTGCCAAAAAATTCAATTGGCACCTGAAAACTCATCGAAAAATTTAACTAACTCCAAAAATTTTTTTCAGAATCTAAAAATTTTCAAGAAAATTTCCAAAAAAAATTGTCAAATATTCAAAAAAAATCCTAAAAAATTCTAGGATTTTCGTAGCCCTCCTAAACACTTTTTGCCCACTTCTGCTTTCTGTTTTCTCTATTTTTTTATGTTTCTCTCTATGTGTTTCTGAGCTATCTATTCTGTCTGTCTGTGTATTAATAGATTGTAATCTAAGAGCCCTAAACTAAAAAGAATTTTTAGTCATTTCTAAGTTTTAATTTCAACTTTTAATCCCACCTAAACTCCTAATTTTAATCCCACTTAAACTCCTCCTATTTTTTTGTTTTTTCCAGCCTTTTCATTT